CCCTTCTGTCAACTTTCCCTGGCTGTATCTCCCAGGTTCGGCTAGGGGTTACCGCCACTTTTTGGGCGTCTATATCTTTCTTTTCCAATCGTTTCGTCAAAGTGGAAAGTAGTGCTGGGAAGGAATAGTCCCAAGTCTGAGTTTTTTTTACCAGTTCAAACTCAAGCAGCCCGTAGCCAGAGACCGGAAAAGCAAGCTTGTGTAAGTTCAGCGTAGCTCTAAGGCCTGGCGGCTTAATACGAAACTTATTGCTAAAAATTATAGATCGCATTAATTGAGTGGATATTGGCAAATGACAGAGACCCCGAAGTACGCAGAGAAATCGCCGAAGTTAGGCAGCAAAAGCTCAACCGACCGCCGCTCCAGTTTGAGTTTTTTTTGGGAGTCCCGCAGTCGTCGCGCAGCCGCGTTAAGGGGCGTGTTTCAACGTCGTCGGGGGAAAAAAACGTATAAATCTCGGCAGGGCAGTGAAATCCTTATTTTTATATTTAAAGGAGTGAAAAGGGATTGAAAAGTGTGCCTTTGCCTAGAAAATCCGCCAAGAGAAGCGCCCACCAAAGAGAAAAAAAAAGCAAATAATAATACAATTATATGGCGAAGACGTTTTAATCGAAACCTTAAATTTTCAAAAATCCGCAAAGAGAAAAGTCAAGCAGCCATGAAATAATTATAAATTTTATTTAGTTAAGTTTTAATTCAATGGTTTGTTTTATTCGTTGTGTGTGATTACCTAATGGCCATGCGGATGAAAAAAAAAAATATTTTATTTGTGAGTGAAAATGATGACAAATAGGCAAAGCCAAAAATTGAGTGATTTTAATATATGAGGAACGATTTTAATTGAGTGATTTCTGCCCTGTGATTCGAGTTTTTTTTCGTGTTGTTTGGCTTGTCCAAAAAATTATTTTCTGATTTCCAGGTTTTTCTCAGGAAAGCGCTTTCTTCGAGGAGGACCTCCACTACATTTTGGTGAGCAAGTGAGTTTTAAAAGAAAAAAAATTTACCTGAAACGGCAAGTCCAAAATATTTAAATTCATCCAAAAGAAAAAATAAAAAATGAGAGTCCAAAGGTTAGAAGTGCAAAAAAATATTTAATAACCAATTTGCGTGTTTTTGTAGTCCTCAAATTGTACTTAAATCTTGCCAAAAACAGTCTGATTCGCCTTTGCCAATAGAGAAAAAAATGTAATGAAAAATTTAAAGAGAAAGATTAATAGTAATTCTAGTCTAGTTAATTTGTTCAATTGATTTTATTAAACTTATCGCATTTGGCCGCATGAATATTTATTATCTATCCTAACTACATTATCGTACCATTTATGACCATTCTACTTTAAATATTTTATATTTTTATATTTGTATGATTTTATAAGTTTCTATGCTAGGTTTTAATTTGTTTTATTTATTTCGAAATTGTCCAATGAGTCACCTGTATTTTTCTGTTAGGTTTTAAATATAATTATAATGTTTTAATTCCACCGATTTTATTTGACTCGACATGATATGAACCCCTGACACCCCTGCACACCGATGGGACCGCTTAAATATTTATATATCTTTGTGGTAATAAGGCGGTCAAAGGAAGAGAGGGCAATATGAATCTCTACCAACATCTGAGATTTTCTGGTGTGCTAAGACAAGAAGAAGTGCAATAGACCCCTAAATTAGTTTCTGTTTGATTTCCGTAAATTCTGGTTAAAATATGTAGTATTTTGTTGAAGATAAATATTTTCCCTAAGAAATGCATGTCCGTTCTCTAAACCATACTTGCGTTTGTGCATATACCTGTGAACGCGAGTCAGTCGCAAATAAACTCTCAAGCTAAGCAGATCACTTCGTGCCTATTCTCTTCTTGTGCGGGTAACGGTTTTCCCCCTCAATAGGTTATGGGTCCAGACCCCGCCTAAAACCATTGTGCGTCTTCAAGAAATAATTGCGCGGATAAATAAAAGACTTAAATGTAACTTGAGTGTTCGGCTTGTTTGTTTTTCTAACTCCGGAGATCGACAGCAGCGATATGAGCGGGATGTACCAAATCGAGAAGCTCGATGAAAGGAATTACGATTCGTGGTGTGTCCAAATGCGTAGCGTTTTGGTGCACGCAGAGCTGTGGAAAGTCGCATCAGGGGAGCTAAAACAAGAGGCAGCTCCAGAAGGAGTGGACTGGACAGGATTGGACCAGAAGGCCTTGGCAACGATCATCCTAAGCATAAAACCCTCACAGTTGCGATATGTCACGCGTTTGAAGCGTGGACGAAACTTAAAGAAGTTCACCAACCCAGCGGACCAGTACGCAAAGTTTCGCTTTACAAAAGATTATTGAGCCTTAGGATGGCGGACGGCCAGAGCATGACCAGTTACATCAATATGTTTGTCGAAATTTTGGATCAGCTTGCAAGTGTTGGAATCGATTTAAATGAAGAGCTAAGAGTAATCTCTCCAGCCTTCCAAAAGATTACGAAAGCTTTGTTGTTGCTATTGAAACGCGTGACAATTTACCGGCATTCAAGAATCTCTGCATAAAGTTGAAGGAAGAAGAAGAAAGGAGAGACGGCGAGAACACGACGAGCGAGCAAGCGTTGGTTGCTAGGCAACGGCCGAGAAAAGGCAAAGGAACGGTAAAGTGCTACAGTTGTGATGAATTCGGCCACATACAGAAAAACTGTCGAAGTAACGGACGGACAGTCGAGAGCAAAGAGTAAGCAAAAACTGTGAACTGTTCTCTCTTAGGCGCGCTGAACAGTGTTTCTCTTGATCAAGGGACTTGGTGTCTCGACAGCGGCGCGACCAGCCATATGTGCTGCAACAAAAACAAATTTGCGAAATTTGAAGATCACAACGAAATGATCGGACCCGCAGACGACGGCATGTTAAGAGCGGAAGGAAAGGGTGAAGTCAACCTGAAAATCGGAATGTGTGAGCTGAAGTTGAACAATATTCTTTATGTGCCGAAATTACAGAGTAATTTTATGTCCGTGAGCCAAGCGGTAAACAAAGACTGTGTGGTCACTTTTGGAAAAAATAGTGCGAGCGTCGTGCAGAACGGTGACGGCCGGATAACTGTAAACAGAGTTGGCAATTTGTATTTGTTTACCGAATCGCAGAACAAATGTTATGCTGCACATGAGTCTGAAGCTGTTTTGGGGCATAAAAGATTTGGTCATCTGAATTACGCAAGTCTCATGGAAATCGCCAAACGACAAATGGTGAGCGGTCTGGAAAAGGCTGATTTTTCGAGGAAGTCTCCGTGCAATACGTGCATGGTGAGCAAAGTGCATGTAAAGCCTTTCCCATCTCATACGGAGAATCGATCGGAGGAGCTGTTGCAGTTGGTGCATTCAGATGTGTGCGGACCGTTTGGAACAAGTTCGATTGGAGGATCGAAGTATTTCCTTACATTTGTTGACGACAAATCCAGACGTGTGTTCGTCTATTTTCTGAAGCGCAAAGATGAAGTTTTTGATAAATTTGTGGAGTTCAAAAACATGGCCGAGCGACAAACTGGGAAGAAATTAATTTGCTTGCGGAGCGATAACGGTCGCGAGTATGTGAACCGAGAATTTTATGAATTTCTACGAGCAAATGGAATTACGAGGCAGCTCACAGTTGCCTACACACCGCAACAAAATGGTGTTGCAGAGCGTTTTAATCGGACATTGGTTGAGATGTCAAGATGTTTACTCGTGCAGTCTGGGCTTTGTGAAGCATTGTGGGCAGACGCGGTATATACGGCAGTGTATCTACGAAATCGATCACCTACAAGTGCTTTGAGCCATATGACACCAATGGAAGCGTGGACTGGTATGAAGCCTTCGATCAGTCATCTCAAAGTTTTTGGTTCCATTGCAGTGGCGCTTGACAAAGGTGTCCAGAGGAGTAAATTCCAACCAAAGGGCTCAGAATACCGAATGGTAGGGTATTCGAGGACATCTAAAGCTCACAGGCTGTATTATCCTAAGAAGCGGCAAGTGGTCGAGAAGAGAAACGTCCTTTTCGATGAGAGGGAAAGCGGAGCGAAGCATGCTGGAAACGAGACCGAGGAAACAAGCGGAGATGATCAGAAAAAATTTTCCGAACTGGCTGATGGCATCGTTGATGGAGACGGCATCAAGGATGAAGGCGGCAGCGAAAGTGAGGAGAATGACAGCGACGGCGTGGATACCGAATGTGAGGACGACGTGAAGGAGCAGCGTGTTGGCTCCGGCAGACCCAGAATTTTACGTACGGGCAGACCCGATCGCCCAAAGAAGCAGTTTAATATACTTGGAACTTTGGCTGGAAGAGATGTACAAATTCCTTCGACGTACGGTGAGGCGATCAGTGGCGAGTTTTCCACACAATGGCGAGAAGCGATGCGTTCTGAATATGATGCCTTGATTACGAATCAGACATGGGAAGTCACAGATTTACCTAGCAGCCAGAAGCCCATCGGCTGTAAGTGGGTATACAGTGTGAAGCGTGATGAAAGCGGAAAGGTGGAGAGGTTCAAGGCTCGACTTGTGGCGAAAGGATGTTCTCAACGTTACGGCGTAAACTACAGCGAAACGTTTGCACCAGTTTGCCGATTGGAGAGCATGCGTTTATTATTGGCCATGGCGGCAGAAATGGAACTCTACTTACACCAGATGGACGTATGTACGGCATACCTCAACAGCGACTTGGAGTATACCGTGTACATGCAGCAACCCGAAGGTTATGCAGAAGGCGACAAAGCAGGAAGGGTGCTTTTACTGAAGAAGGCCATATATGGATTGAAGCAGGCTGGTAGACAGTGGAACATCAAACTGGATGGTGTTCTGAAGGGCATTGGCTTCCATCCGTTGTAGAATGGACCGTGCTTGTATAAGCGTGCGGATGATGGTAATATAGCATTAATCCTTGTTTATGTTGATGATCTCATTATAGCATGCCAGAAGAAAACAGACTTACTCAACATCAAGACATCGATCTCAGCGGCGTTCGAATGTGTTGATAAAGGCTCGTTACGACTGTTTCTAGGCATGGAGATAGAGCGCAAGGGTGAACTTGGAGAGATAACCCTAGCGCAGACCCAGTATATCCAGGACCTGCTGCATCGACATCAAGTCGAGAGCTGAAGACCTGCGTCTACACCTTTGGATCTAGGGTATCAGGTTGCGTGTAATGCGCAATGCGCAAAGGTGGACGAGACGAAATACCAGACAGTAGTTGGCGAGCTGATGTGGTTGGCGCTTACGACCCGACAGGATATTCTTCATTCCGTTGCGAAATTGGCACAGCGGAATAAGGAACCGCATAGCGAGCATCTAGCAGGCGTTAAGCATGTAATGCGTTACCTGGCGTCTACATTGGAATACAAGCTGCACTACAAGAAGACGGGACAGGCGTTTGCTGGCTACGTCGACGCCGATTGGGGTGACGACAGGCTTGATCGAAAATCGTATACAGGATACGTGTTCTTTTTGGCTGGTGGTCCGACATCGTGGAAGTCGGAGAAGCAGCACAGCGTAGCACTCAGCAGTACCGAGGCTGAGTACATGGCGTTGTCGACGGCGTGCAAGGAGGCAGTTGCTATGAGGCGGCTGATCATCGAACTTGGCTGCGGGGACGCAGAAACCCCGACGATCGTTTTTGGAGACAACTTAAGTGCACAACAACTAGCCAAGAACCCAGTGCATCATGCTAGGACAAAGCATGTAGATATAAGATATCACTTCATTCGTCAGATTGTAAATGATGGTCAGATAGTTTTGAAATATGCTTCTACAAATGTAATGATTGCAGATATACTGACAAAGAACCTGGCGAAAAAGAAACACAATGAATTTGTTAAAATGTTAAACTTGTATTAGTAACATTAATAACGTACTTGCATTGAGGAAGGGTGTTGAAGATAAATATTTTCTCTAAGCAATGCATGTTCGTTCTCTAACCCATACTTGCGTTTGTGCATATACCTGTGAACGCGAGTCAGTCGCATTCTCTTCTTGTGCGGGTAACGGTTTTCCCCCTCCCTTTGTTTTAGCTTGTCCTTTCACGCGATTTCTTTTTGAAATAAATAATGCAAATAGGCGATACGAGAGAAGTAGCAAAGACCTACACCATTAGTCGACGAGCACAGCCGGAGAACATTTCGCGTGAGCGCTTCTTTCGAGCAACACCTTAGCCTGAATAATTATTAATGTTCGTTACATTTATAATTATATTAGAATTATCATAATTATTTTATGGCGCCCAAGTTAATGGCCACGTTTTTTTTACGTTGCTCACGGAATACAATTTTATGTTTTAGCCAAGTTAGAAATATTGGATTTAACTTCGAGCAAAAATCGAGCAAATATGTCTCGTCAGCTTAAGTTGGAGACCTTTTATATTTCCACTCAATTCAGCTTCGTACCTCGCTTAGAATTTGACTCAAACGCGTCGGAAACGAAGAGGCAGAGTCAAAAGACATGAGCCATTCGTCCACGTTTGACCGAAAATTTTAGGAAGAGGCCCATAAAGTATACCCTTACATTTTCAAGTCCATAGGGTTGGTCATTAAACGCATAGGAATTGCAGGTATTGAGTTTTTTTTAATTTCACTGCCTGACCACGGTTAATGAACAAACATTCAAATAGTAAATAATTCATAATCAGACATTAAAGCTGGCCATACTTCGTGAACTTTCATAGCGAACGGTCGTGTTTTTGTTTTGCGCTCCGAACTTTTGTGTTGTTTTGCATTTAAAACCACCGGGGTCCAGATTTTAACTTGTTAAAATACAATATATAACTTTGCCGTTTTGCTACGCGAGTGCATGTGCATGTGTCTTTAAGTGTTTATTTAATATATACATATATCTCATTTAATCACTTTTAGTTTTTTGTGTTTTCCTGCCTCCTCTTTTGTAGTCCCGTTTATTTGCGTCTAGCTGCACTTAGGCGGTTCGAAGCTTTCGTTGTGTCTCTGCTCACCCACGCTTACGCTCCCGCTCTCTTATTTTTTTGTTCTCGTTTCGGCTCTGCTTATCGGTGCACCGTGGTTGTAGGTTGTGTAAAATGGTGTCGAATACTGTTTGTGCTATTAAAGGCTGCCAAAAAGAAGTTTTGGCAGAACAGCCCAGCCTTTTTTGCTGGCTTTGCGATGCGGTCGTACACGCTAAGTGTCTCGACTTAACGGGCCGTATCGCCGACGTAATTTCTGCCAATAAAGGCATACGTTACTGTTGCCATGCCTGCCGGGAGGTTGAGAAGGAAATGTTATCCTTCATGCGGCAGACCAGGGGCGGATTTAATGAACTTAGGGTCAATTTTCGCAAAGCGAACGACCTGTTCACAGCGCTGGACGCTCAATTTAACGGGATGAAGCTGTTAAGTGAGTCGCCAAAGCGCAAAAAATCAGCTTCTGGTCGGCAGCAATTGGGTGAGCCCCAGCAACCTACGATCTGGCATACCCCCTCGGCCCAGCCCCCGGCACCGACACCAACTCCGATGGTGTTGAGATCGGGAACGGCGAAAGATTCGGCAATCGAACGTGCCGGGAATGAAATGGCAGCAGCTCCGCCCGTTTTATTAGTTGAGTCCGCTGCGGAGTCTCAATCACTGACACCGCAGACTTCAAAAAAAATCTCAGCTATCCCACAGGGCAAAAAAAGAGCCGTTCAAATGGCTGAAGTCGGTAATGTTCCTTTACCAAAAACCCTCACCGCTATTCCACCATTAAAAACAATATTTGTTTCTCGGCTTGCCCCTGACCTTGCATCTGAAGATGTACAAGCTCATATACAGAGCAAAATACAAGCCAATAATGTGAAAATAGAAAAATTCAACTTTTCATACCCCAGAGACATCTCATCTTTCAAGATAAGTGTCTCCTTCGATCTTTTGACACAATTTGTTCGGGTGACTTCTGGCCTGAGCACGCTGTAGTCAAGGAGTACGAGGTAAAAATAAAGAAAAAACGGCCTTCACGGCCGGCACAAACCACAGCGACCGCAGGCGTCACGGCAGTGCCAAAAAACTAAATACCTCCCTCCTACTTTCCTATCAGAATACTAGAGGCTTACGCAGCAAGCTCTCTAAATTGTATTCTGATAGTCTTTCGTTTGCATCCCAGGTGATTGTGTTTACCGAAACCTGGTTAAAGCCGGAGATTTTCAGCTCCGAAATTTTCCCAGGTAAGTACACAACTTATAGAGTAGACCGTCTTTCCCAGCGAGGAGGTGGAGTTTTGATCGCCGTTGACTCCACCCTTAGTTCCGAACTGGTTCAAATAGATGATCTCACAGGTATTGAATTTATCTGTGTAAAACTATCATTTCCAGGTAGTTTTATCTATATAACCTGTTCTTACGTTCCTCCATCTGCTGAAGAGCCCATTTATTGGAAACACCTTTCGGCAATTCAGGCTGTTGCCAACAGGCTTTCAGATAGAGACCAACAAATAACTCTAGGAGACTTCAATATACCTGGAGCTCGTTGGTCATCAGATGGTACGTCAAATGTTCCCAAACTGCGGTACAGCATGACCTCATAGATGGTTTGCTTGACATTTCGTTGTCCCAAGTTAACCATGTCGTAAATTCTTTAAATCGCCTACTAGATCTGTGTTTCGTCTCTGATCCTGTAGGTGTAAACTTAACAAGAGTCGATCCATTGACGCTTCCCGAAGACCCTTACCATCCTACTTTCGAAGTGACCATCGATTTGGGGACTGTCGTAAAGACTAAACCTGATTTGAGTTGCTCAGCAACTAAAGTTCGCTGCTTCCGTAAAGCAAATTTTCAAAGGCTAGATATCTTGATTTCCCAATTTAATTGGTCTGAACTTTACAGATGTACTGACATGGCGTCCGCCGTGGATATTTTTTACAGTGCCATGAATTCGTTCTTTGCATTGTGTGTTCCTTTAGCCTATCCGTCGGTTTCTAGTAAACCACCTTGGTTCACCAAAGAGCTGACACGCCTAAAAAACGTTAAGTCTAGGCTTTATAATCGCTATAAACGCACCGGATCTCCCACTGTTCATTCAAGATATCTTAGTGCTCGGTCGAATTTCACCGTGCTAAATGCGCAATGTTATAAAAGTTATTTAACTCGCTGTAGGGTTCAGTTCACGCAGGACCCGAAACAGTTTTATAACTTTGTTAACACTAAGCGAAAACCCAATTTACATCCTTCATCGCTTTCGTTCAGAAACGCTACAGCAAACTCTGATCAGGCCATCGCCGATCTCTTTGCCGAGTTTTTCAAAACTACGTATTGTTCCTCGAATAGCTCAGATCAGACTTACTCTTTTGATTTGCCCAAGTCGAACCTAATTTTCAGTCCCATTTTAACCGAAAGCTCCCTTAGTTCGGATCTTCATCGTGTAAAACCAGTTTACTCACCGGGTCCCGATGGAATACCAGGCTGCGTGCTCAAGTATTGTGCCGGAGCTCTGTGCAATCCCCTTTTGAAATTGTTTACCTTATCTTTAGAAACCTCAGAATTTCCCCTTATTTGGAAGGAATCATTTATCATTCCTCTCCACAAAAAAGGTAGCAAATCGGACGCCAGCAACTATAGAGGAATCTCTAAGTTGTCTGATATTATAATTCGTAGCGATAACCCTTCTATATTAAAAACCTTAATACTTGTAGAGTTAGCTCGTAGTGTAGCACCGTAGTCTAATTTTGCATGCGTTTCTTTTTATTTTACCTATTTATTTATTCTTGCATGACTTGTAGTAGTTATCTCGTAGAGTAGCACTTATTTTGCATGCGTTTTTATTTTTATTTATTTTTTTTTTTTTTTTTTTTTTTTTTATATTTTGTTTATTTATTAAATTATGGTTATGGTTATATATTTTTATTATTAGATCATTATTTTGCATGTGTTTTTATTTATTTATATATTTATAGTTTATTATATTATCTCCTAATGTTTCCTCGTACATTTCGTCTGTCCTTCTAACGCGTCTATCTAGTTCGCGATTCGTGCCGTACGTCACACGGCTGCGCCCCTCGGTCGGTTGGGCGGGAGGTGGAAGCGGGACCCCGCGCGAAAAAAAAAAAAAAAATAACTCGCATTGGATATGCAGTGGGTTTTATTTACATAAGAACTCGCTGACCACGATGAATGGCATAGCTAATATGCTCCACAATTGTAAAGTGCGAAGCAGCCGGCTCGGATCATAGGCAGTGGAACGATCGTCTAGCCGCCGTCTGCAGGTGGTGCTTATTGTTGTTGGAATTTTGGAAATGCGATAAGCGCAATGCACATGCAAGTGCAATGTTGTTGTTGGAATTTTGGCAATGCGATAAGCGCAATGCACATGCAATTGCAATATTGTTTTTCTATGCACTTGTCTTATCTTTGTTAGGTTTGTCAGAGGGGGAATATTTATGTTCGACGTCAAATTATTTTATGATATTCATTTTTTTTGCTTCGTTTGTTTACGATTTTTTTTGATTTTACTAATTTGAATTTTTATATCATTTGTTGATATTATTATTATCATTCGATTTTAATTATTAAAATTTTTATATTATTTCATGTTTATACTTCTACTGTCAATCGATTGTGATTTTTTTCAGTGTAGTCGAGCAGTTTGGTTCGATTTAGGTTCGCTTTAGTTCGAACGTGGATTGATTTTGCACAGAGAACTGGACAGCTGATTTCTTATAGGAGGTCATTGACCTCGCAATATAAAAAGAGTTTTTGTTCGAGCAAACTGTTGGAATTTCTCACTCGATTTAAGCAATTTTATTCACTATAGCTAATTAATTCCTAACTTTGAATTAATTCTTAACATTAGAGCATTTATATTTA